AAATTATTTAGTAAATTGTTACAGCAAATCCAAACTTCTCTTTCAGGATCACTTCAGATGTGATTTTCCCTTAAATTGCATCATTATTTACAAATCCCGTTGTAGAAGTTGAAACGTTTAAGTCAGATGAGTAAAAATGCATCTTAGAATTTCCTTCCAAGGATCTAACATTCTCCAGAGGTTGGCATATTGTGAATAGTCTCTTGTTTAAAAGACGATGCACTCTAGGCTCATGCCAAATGATAAGGGCCAGAGATAAGAGCCGAGGATGATTTCTGGCATTGCCACGGCACCGGCGTCCAAAACTGGGCTTGAATTCTCTTGCCTTTTTTCATGTATGTCTTCTGCTGTCAGAAATTTGCTTTTCACTAGCTTCCTCCTAGTACAAACTTAATTCGAATCTCCTTTTTGGAAATATTCAAAGTTCGAAGATGCGTTTCAGAAATGCAATGTCATAGTGGGGTAGGATTACTAAAATCCAAGGGTGGTGGGGCCTGAGGTCGTTTCTGCCATAGTAGGAAGATCCTCAGATGCTGACAGGGACAGTGCCATGGGACTGACATCCCTGCCCTGGTGAGGGACAGGAAGGAGGCCGGGGAGCATCAGAGTTTGCTGGATTGAGATTGTGGGGTCTTAGAGGGAAGAGAGGTGGTGATGGAAGATGAATCATGTCGTATGGGCACCCAAGGGGGAAGCAATACAAAATTCCCAGTAGCTTTGGGCCCAGAGAGTGGGCAGTTTTCTTTATTTTTGATTGCTGTTTATGCGAAATGGTTGGTGAATGCTGGCTGTATTCAGAGGGCTCAGTGCCAACTGCCAGGGGCTTGGAGTAGGGAAGACCAGGTGCCGTCATCTGCTGTATGTGCCACCACCCCCCACCCAAGTCCATATGTTGTAGCCTAACCACCAAGGTGATGGTGTCAGGAGATGGGGCTTTTAGGAGGTGAGTAGGTAGGTCATGAGGGCTCTGCCCCCATGAATGGGATTAATGCCTTAGTACAAAAGAAGCTTGAAGGAGCCTTCATCCTGAACTTCTCAGCCTCCAGAACTGTGAGCAATAAATTCCTATTGCTTATAAACCACCCACTCCAAGGTATAGTGTTACAGCAGCACAAATGGACTAAGACACCAGGCACCCAAATTTAGTAAGTGCACAACAGCCCCTTACAATGCTGGTGGAGGAGGCAAAGAATTACTGCAGGTCTGTAAAAACATGGACCGGCTTGGGGGCACTGGGCCCCCGGTAAGAATGATTCCACCATGAGCACAGTCAGTGAAGGCTGAGTTCAAACTTTAAAGATGACAGCCAGACAGGTTCTTGGGACAGCTTTACCCCAAGACCTCTGTGTATCCAAGTTTCCAGATGGAACAAACTGCAGCAGAGCTCTGGATGGACCTCCTGGGGGCAGTGGATGCTGCTCAGAAGTCAGGGTCACTCAGGACCACAGGAGATTCTGCATGTGGTGACCATTCTACTCCAATAATAAATCAGTTCACAAGGAGCAAACCGGCTGTTTGACAGTCTATCATGTGCACTAAGGTTATTTCTACTCTAGTGCAAGTTTCAAACGTTGGCCATGACGCACTCGCTGTGTGGATTTAATGACTCATTAAGGAGTTACAGCCCATGCTTTTTTAAAAAGTAACCTATTGGCCGGGTGCGGTGGCTCACTCCTGTAATCCTAGCTCTCTGGGAGGCCGAGGCGGGCGGATTGTATGAGCTCAGGAGTTTGAAACCAGCCCGAGCAAGAGCGAGACCCCGTCTCTACTAAAAATAGAAAGAAATTAATTGGACAACTAAAAATATATAGAAAAAAAAATTAGCCGGCCATGGTGGCGCATGCCTGTAGTCCCAGCTACTCGGGAGGCTGAGGCAGAAGGATCACTTGAGCCCAGGAGTTTGAGGTTGCTGTGAGCTAGGCTGACGCCACGGCACTCTGGCCCGGGCAACACAGTGAGACTCTGTCTCAAAAAAAAAAAAAAAAGTAACCTACAAGACAGCAGACCTTGTGTGGGTATGACCCTGTGAATTCTGTTTCTCAGCAGTGCATGTTTCTAGGACTCAAGCCTGTTGGGGAATTCCAACTGCTATGAAGAAACCCTATGGCACATGTTCAGGGCAATGGTGTGGTGCAGGGTGTGTCCCACACGGGGTTGAGGATGTGGCAGGAACTCCTGGGACTGTGGGCAGATCCTAAGAGAGGAAAGTCAAGCCTGCGAGTGTCAGAGCCTGGACAGAGAAGTTGATGATGGACAGATACCTGTAGTTAAGTCACGTAACAGAGGATTGGGACAGCCCTGATGGCCCATGAGGGGATCAAGACCCCACCTTGCCCAAGGCAGCACACAATAAATGCTGCGTAAATAACTAATGGGTGGAAGCCATTGTTCTACCAATCTGCATTGCCAGGAATTCTGGAAAGAGCAGGAGATGCCATTGACTAAGCATTTCCTAAATGCCAGGCGCTTTACAAATATTACCTCCTTAAAGCTCAGGACCACATGATTGACCCCAGCCAGAGCCTGCATTCCTCCTGGACCTACTGTAGGAAGGGCTGAGGCTCCTGTCGCAAGAAGCATCCAGTTGACAGCAGAGGAGACCTTCTTCTGCTGGATTCTCTGTGAGCATCGAGTGTCATATAAAATGCCTGTCTGGGCCTGGGTCGGGGGCTCGCATGTCGAGTGTTTATGTGCCCAGGAAGCTGGGTCAGGGCAGTGGAGCAGTGGAGAGGAGGCCTGGACCACTGTGCTCTGCTGAGGGGGTCCCCATCAAGGGCTGGACCCCTGGACCTTCCAGGGACCCCTGGAGAGTTGTCCACCCAGGCTGGGAGGAGACTGTCCCCGTTGTCAGCTGGGGCAGCACCTCGAGGCATTCACTCCTCCACCCCTGGGGTGGTGACTGCAGGACCCCAGGGGTGTCTGGAGCCCTGAGGCCACTCTAGCTGCAGAGGTTGTCCTGCTGCCCAGAGGTGGGATGGATGAACTGAGAGGTGGGAGGAGGAAGGGACGGGAACAGAACTGAAGCATCCCCTCCAGCGGGACACCCCCAAAACAGGAGCTCCTGTGTGGTACACTTAGCACGTGTGGGTGACTCTGAAGTGATTTCAGCCAACAGCTCTCCAAATTCTAAGGTGATTTGCAGGTGGACGGTGGGTGCCTGCAGGAGCCGTGTGCGGGTGCGGCCCCGGTTAGGGCTCAACCCACGTGGGTCAGCGTTACCGTGGGGCTGCCTCAGACAAGCCATCAGACGGAAGGACAGGAGGGCCCTGTGCCGAACAACATTCCACGTTCAGCAAGACATTCTCCTCCCAAATATATAAGAGCAGTAAGATGTCTCATGAGGGTTCTCTCCCTCCAAGAGATTCCAGTTTGTTCTCGGCCTAGACACGGCAGATTGGCGGGAAGACAAGTTGGCATCTTCTCCTGAGACTTGCAGACGTGTGGAGATCTATACATTGGGACATATTAAACAAAACCAGAGGCGTTGATATAACCTCCGTGCCAGTGCTCCAGGAATTTCAAGTTTGCTGGCACCAGGACCCGGATTTTGTCGCGCAAGCCTCTGCGAGGTGCAGGGGGCTGTGTGGAGGAAGCCGCCCAGGGTCTCCACAGAGCTGCACCGGGGCTGAAGGAATGGGGACCCCAAACAAAGGAAGGGTTTCTTGGGGGCTTGGCTGGGGGCCTGGAAACAGGGGGGGAACAATAGGCTGCAGAGAGCCCCTGGAGCTGGCAGAGGCTCTGCCAACACTCATGACCCTGAGAGGCCCCCGGCTGCCGCCCACCCAGGCCCTGCCTTGG